GTGAAAATCACAGTGAGAGCACGCAAGCGTCCATGGGAAAGCATATGAATGCTTTCCTATGCGACCGGCTGAATGCGCATTCAGCCGACGGGGCGGAACGGAGGAGGAGAGGAGGCAGAGAGCTCCCCGCCCAGCGCTGGAAAAAGGTACGTTTTAACCCCTTGCCCCCTTCCAGAGCCGGACGGGAGGGGGACCCTGAGGGTGGGGGCACCCTCAGGGCACTATAGTGCCAGGAAAACGAGTATGTTTTCCTGGCACTATAGTGGTCCTTTAAGGAAGGTATGGTTTTATCTAAATGCACCCTATTCGCTGACTGGGAAATCCTGTCTGGTCTCTGCTCTGCTTGTCTCCTTAGTAATAGTGATCATTATTGGTAATAACACACTGATCGCTGGAAACAAATACACATTTATTGTCAATTACATTAACACCTGCAGATGGCAAATTCAGATTGTGTGGCAACCAGCAGGAGGCGCTGCAGCCTAGTTATAGATTAAACCGCGGCACACCACGATGTCACTGAAACGGTCACCATCGCAGGCTTTTAATTTAATATTAATATTTAATATATTCATTTCATATTCCTGCGTTAGTTCCTACAATCCTAAAGTGATGAATGAAGTATTTTTCTATGTAGTTTTTGTAAGATAGTTTCTCCTAGTGAAGAGTTACAGACATTTATCTCATTATATTAACATTACAATTAATTTTTCCCGTGGAATCCTTTGACATAGTGTATCAACATTGTAGAACACCTCCCCTCCCCCTGGTTTCTGTTTGCCCCGTGTTATACCTTTATTTACACCCTTCACTACAGTTTGATCTGTGCCGCTTTATTGTCGTTTCAAATAGCGGCGCTGTCTGAACAAAATGTGCAATAAATGTGAATATTTTCCAAAGTACAGTGATAACGGCAAATATTTTGAACAATTCCTTCATTTTGTTGTAAGTAATAAAGAATTGCAAATTCTTCGTATATTAATCATTGGAACAAAAGTGAAGGTGACAATTAAAAAAACGACAACTAAGGGTAGTAGATACCTGGAATAGCCTTCCAGTGGAAGCAGTAATGGCTAACAGTGATCTAGAAAGAGTAGTAGATACCTGGAATAGCCTTCCAGTGGGAGCAGTAACAGTGATATCGAAAGGGTAGTAGATACCTGGAAAAGCCTTCCAGTGGGAGCAGTGACAGTGATATAGAAAGGGTAGTAGATACCGGGAATAGCCTTCCAGTGGGAGCAGTAACAGTGATATAGAAAGGGTAGTAGATACCTGGAATAGCCTTCCAGTGGGAGCAGTAACAGTGATATAGAAAAGGTAGTAGATACCTGGAACAGCCTTCCAGTGTGATATAGAAAGGGTAGTAGATACCTGGAACAGCCTTCCAGTGGGAGCAGTAACAGTGATATAGGAATGGTAATAGATACCTGGAATAGCCTTCCAGTGGGAGCAGTAACAGCTATATAGAAAGGGTAGTAACAGCAATATAGAAAGGATAGTAGATACCTGGAATAGCCTTCCAGTGGGAGCAGTAACAGAGATATAGAAAGGGTAGTAGATACCTGGAACAGCCTTCCAGTTGGAGCAGTAACAGTGATATAGAAAGGGTAGTAGATATCTAGAATAGCCTTCCAGTGGGAGCAGTAACAGTGATATAGAAAGGGTAGTAGATACCTGGAATAGCCTTCCAGTGGGAGCAGTAACAGTGATATAGAATGGGTAGTAGATACCTGGAATAGCCTTCCAGTGGGAGCAGTAACAGTGATATAGAAAGGGTAGTAGATACCTGGAATAACCTTCCTGTGGGAGCAATAACAGTGATATAGAAAGGGTAGTAGATACCAGGAATAGCCTTCCAGTGGGAGCAATAACAGTGATATAGAAAGGGTAGTAGATACCAGGAATAGCCTTCCAGTGGGAGCAGTAACAGTGATATAGAAAGGGTAGCAGATACCTGGAATAGCCTTCCAGTGGGAGCAGTAACAGTGATATAGAAAGGGTAGCAGATACCTGGAATAGCCTACCAGTGGGAGCAGTAACAGTGATATAGAAAGGGTAGTAGGTACCTGGAATAGCCTTCCAGTGGGAGCAGTAACAGTGTTATAGAAAGGGTAGCAGATACCTGGAATAGCCTTCCAGTGGGAGCAGTAACAGTGTTATAGAAAGGGTAGCAGATACCTGAAATAGCCTTCCAGTGGGAGCAGTAACAGTGATATAGAAAGGGTAGTAGATACCTGGAATAGCCTTTCAATGGGAGCAGTAACGGTGATATAGAAAGGGTAGTAGATACCTGGAATAGCCTTCCAGTGGGAGCAGTAACGGTGATATAGAAAGGGTAGTAGATACCTGGAATAGCCTCCCAGTGGGAGCAGTAACAGTGATATAGAAAGGGTAGTAGATACCTGGAATAGCCTTCCAGTGGGAGCAGTAACAGTGATATAGAAAGGGTAGTAGATACCTGGAATAGCCTTCCAGTGGGAGCAGTAACAGTGATATAGAAAGGGTAGTAGATACCTGGAATAGCCTTCCAGTGGGAGCAGTAACAGTGATATAGAAAGGGTAGTAGATACCTGGAATAGCCTTCTAGTGGGAGCAGTAACAGTGTTATAGAAAGGGTAGCAGATTCCTGGAATAGCCTTCCAGTGGGAGCAGTAACAGTGATATAGAAAGGGTAGTAGATACCTGGAATAGCCTTCCAGTGGGAGCAGTAACAGTGATATAGAAAGGGTAGTAGATACCAGGAATATCCTTCGAGTGGAAGCAGTACAGGCTGACACAGTAAAGAACTTCAGGGTTGTTGCTAAGTGTTTCAGACTATTGTGAAGAGTAAATTAGTTAAATCAATGGAATCAGAGATTGGATAACAAGCAGACTAAATGTTCTGATTGATTCTTGTCTCAGGGCACCATGTTTGTGTGAATGAATGCTGATAACACTGAAGGCATTTTGCTCAGTCATTGAGCAGCGTATAATGGTAATAGATAATGAACGGATCTTTACTCAAATAAAATATAATAACCATCAATAATACTAACAAATAATTTGATTTTCTCCCATTTCCTGCGTGTTCTGCGCTCCATTAATTAATCAGTGATGGAGTTTCTGTATGTTGTTCTGGCAGTGCAGGTAATAATGCATTATCACATTATATCACCCACTATTTGATAATCTTATAAATCTGGTGGTGCCCCATCGCATTTCACTCCGTCTTACTTTCACCCAGAGAAATAAATAAAGGAAGTGTTTATTCCACTCTGAGATTTATTTACTAAATGCGGAATTGTGATCTGAATGACAATATTCTGGATAAAAGAAATGATCTGGAAAAAATCACAGGTTTTCTGATTAAGCCGACATTGTGACATTCAGATTTAATTCTGAATTTAGTGAATAAGCCGTACGAATGGCAGCTGTGCAGAGACCTAGCCGGGATCCACGGAGATTTGGACTGAAAAAACTACTGTTAATCCTCTGGCAAAGAATTCAGAAAATCCTCTATTGGAATCTGTCAGAAACTCTCAGAAATCTGGTCTTAACCCTTTGTATGCCAGGAGCCTAGTCCTAATCGCTCATTTTATGTCTTTACTAATTATTACTTATTATTGTTTACTTAATTACTTAACTATTTACTTAGCTACCTGGCAGTGTTATTTAAATCTACATGTTTGGTTCCACCAATTGCTTACTTTAATTTATCTGTTTGCATATTTTAGCCAACCAAAGTACCCTGTGAGTTAGAAGACATTTAATCAGTGGCTGAATACAGAGAGATCGGCGTGGATTTGTGCGTGTCTCTTCTGCATTAATTTGTTGCATTATCTCCACCTAAGTTCAGCTGTTACTCTTAACAGTCCACCCACACTCAGCCTCCAGTCTGCCCACACTCAGCCTCCACCCACGCTCAGCCTCCAGTCTGCCCACACTCAGCCTCCACCCACGCTCAGCCTCCAGTCTGCCCACACTCAGCCTCCACCCACGCTCAGCCTCCAGTCTGCCCACACTCAGCCTCCACCCACGCTCAGCCTCCAGTCTGCCCACACTCAGCCTCCACCCACACTCAGCCTCAACCCATGCTCAGCCTCCAGTCCACCCACGCTCAGCCTCCAGTCTGCCCACACTCAGCCTCCACCCACGCTCAGCCTCCAGTCTGCCCACACTCAGCCTCTACCCACGCTCAGCCTCCAGTCTGCCCACACTCAGCCTCCACCCACACTCAGCCTCAACCCATGCTCAGCCTCCAGTCCACCCACGCTCAGCCTCCAGTCTGCCCACACTCAGCCTCCACCCACGCTCAGCCTCCAGTCTGCCCACACTCAGCCTCTACCCACGCTCAGCCTCCAGTCAACCCACACTCAGCCTCCGGTCCGCCTAGGCTCTTTGATTACTTGGGAATGCTTCCCTAAGCAGGACACACCTCCTTAGTGATGCCGACACACTAGCTCTGTTATACTAATTACTCCTATCCTATAGTCCCAAACCAGTGCTAGCAGCATCAGCTAGGGAGTTTCCATAGTGCATGCGCTGTGGTTGCTACACTCGGAGAGCAGAATAATTAGCTAACTGGTGGGGGACAGATCTATGTTGGAATAGTTTTTCTCCATATCTATATATTTAGTAAACCTGCATAAAATGTATAGCGGATAAGTTGTAGGTTCAGAACACTCTACACAGGTGATACCTCAGTCTTTTATAGAAATCATGTATGAAGAAGTTGTTCCTGCGGTATCACCTCTTTGATTCTTAGCTTAATTGGATTACTGAGAATATGGCCACCTTGGGTTTACCGACGCATTGATGATGTACATATCAGAAAGCATTGGCTGAACACAGTTTCCAAGTTGTTCACGTGTAATGTGGAGGTAACGGTACAGGTATCATTTGTAAATAATAATCACACAATTTTTATCATTAGTAAATGATAAATGTACCTTTCCAGGTTAAATACTCAGAATGCTGATAGGGTGAGCAGAACGTAAAATGGAACAATATATTTTACTGTGTCATCGATACCACAAATTCCATCTAATAATGTAATTATCAATAAAGGCATGGAAGGATGGTTCTGGTACTCTGGATAGAAGGATGGTTCTGGTACTCAGGATAGAAGGATGGTTCTGGTACTCAGGATAGAAGGACGGTTCTGGTACTCTGTATAGAAGAATGGTTCTGGTACTCAGGATAGAAGGATGGTTCTGGCACTCAGGATAGAAGGATGGTTCTGGTACTCGGGATAGAAGGACAGCTCTGGTACTCGGGATAGAAGGACAGTTCTGGTACTCGGGATAGAAGGACCGTTCTGGTACTTTGGATAGAAGGATGGTTCTGGTACTCAGGATAGAAGGATGGTTCTGGTACTCAGGATAGAAGGACGGTTCTGGTACTCTGTATAGAAGAATGGTTCTGGTACTCAGGATAGAAGGATGGTTCTGGCACTCAGGATAGAAGGATGGTTCTGGTACTCGGGATAGAAGGACAGCTCTGGTACTCGGGATAGAAGGACAGTTCTGGTACTCGGGATAGAAGGACCGTTCTGGTACTCTGGATAGAAGGATGGTTCTGGTACTCAGGATAGAAGGATGGTTCTGGTACTCAGGATAGAAGGACGGTTCTGGTACTCTGGATAGAAGAATGGTTCTGGTACTCAGGATAGAAGGATGGTTCTGGCACTCAGGATAGAAGGATGGTTCTGGTACTCGGGATAGAAGGACAGCTCTGGTACTCGGGATAGAAGGACAGTTCTGGTACTCGGGATAGAAGGACCGTTCTGGTACTTTGGATAGAAGGATGGTTCTGGTACTCAGGATAGAAGGATGGTTCTGGTACTCGGGATAGAAGGACAGTTCTGGTACTCGGGATAGAAGGACCGTTCTGGTACTCGGGATAGAAGGACCGTTCTGGTACTCAGGATAGAAGCACCGTTCTGGTACTTGGGATAGAAGGATGGTTCTGGTACTCGGGATAGAAGGATCGTTCTGGTACTCAGGATAGAAGGACCGTTCTGGTACTCAGGATAGAAGGATGGTTCTGGTACTCGGGATAGAAGGATTGTTCTGGTACTCAGGATAGAAGGACCGTTCTGGTACTCAGGATAGAAGGATGGTTCTGGTACTCAGGATAGAAGGATGGTTCTGGTACTCAGGATAGAAGGATGGTTCTGTGACTCCTATTTTGGTACTCAGGATAGAAGGACGGTTCTGGTACACAGGTAATCTTTATTATATTTATTATTTTAATGTAAGTAAGTTACGCAGTAGAGTTACTGTATACATATAATGACGTTTCTCCATTTTTTATGCAACAAATGATTTTTTTTAAACTATGTATTGTTGCCATTTTGATCCAGAAGTATAACAGCCATTATATGCACAAAAATATTATTTATTTCACTGCAGTCTGGTTTCATCACAAGCTGGGATGATTTATGGGGGTCAGTGACTTCTCCTATCCATTTCTAGAATTTCTTTCAGCATAATATCCTGTAAATTTCATTTTTGGATGGTAGTAAAAGACCTCTTGCCCTTCCATTTAAACTGGAAGCAGAGATACATTGTTCTTGTTGCAGAACGCGTTTGTTCATCCTGTATTTCCTGCCTGGCTTCTCAATCACAAGGGGTCAAATTTCTCCAATCTCTTGACAAAATAAATGGACCAAAAGGCTTACACCAGATTTAAAGATGATTTTATTATTTATTATTTAGCTTAGAGATGTGTTGGTTCCACATAGATGGATGTGAATTATTAATGAGTATTACCAGTAATATTGATGTGTTATGATTGTTACGTCATTAGCCATTGTCACACATATTGCATTTTATCAATAAGCGGCTATAATTGTCAGCTGAAGTTTATTAATACACCAAATTTGAACTATTTGCTATCGCTTTCCTGTGCAGAGTGAGTAAATCCCAAGAAAACGTCATACACATAGCCTCTCACCACACTAGGTATCCATCGTCCTCATTGGTTAGGAGTTGTATAACTCTGCGTAATCGCTGTATGCGCATGAATACAGTATGGCGGCCTATAAGTCCAGGCATCGAGAGGCTGTGAATTGCTCCAGGAGATGCCTGATTGACAGAAACTGGATGGAGAAATGAAAAGGACAGGGCAACAATTTCATAGGAAACCCATCTCGCTATGAGAGGACCCAGCCTGTACAAAGGTCCATCGAGACCAAAACCGAAACCCTAATATCAATATCTCGTTAGACTCGAGCACAGCATGACAAGTCGCCTCAGACAATCCATTTTACCCAAACAAAGAACATTTTTCAGGACTTTAACATTTGGGCCAAATGTCAGTTCGACAGAATTTTAGAAAAGAGATTTTGATTCAGAAAATTAATCCGAAACAAAAGAAGGCGTTTAAATGGACCAAACAGTGCGTATATTGTGCAATATACGGATAGGAGCATCTTATCTCCATTAGGTCCACAGATAAAGTGAGACAAAGTAGGAACAGTAACCAACAGAGAGAACATAGGAGAAGCAGTAAATACAATGTAAAAGGTATCGAGGTTTATAGGGTGAGCGTATCACCATCTTACTCCTGTAAAATAGTGACTCCAGGGGGTAATCGGTACGGACAAATTATATCTTATATTTTAGAAGGGTTCAGTTTTAAATCCATTTACCAATATGATCATTCTTGGTCTCAATATTCTTAATATTATGCTTACTTCTTTAACAAATATATGTTTGTGAGCTGTAAAGCATAAATTAAATGTAATAATCCACCCCCCTTTATCCTACCGCTGGGCGCCTCCATCTTAGCTCTCTGTCAATTATTGTTATAAGCTGAGAGAGCATTGAGCGAGGAGGAGACACAGAAACCGATGTCTCGTTTACAAAGACCGCTGTGTTAACCCTCACGTTGGCACCACTTTGTACGAACTCTCCACGTTCTTTATTGGTCGGTGACTTTTTTTTCTCACCTTTTCTGAAATGCACCAAAATAATTGATAATTTTACTGTGACGAGAGCAATCTCGCCACATTGCATTGGAGAAGCCTGGTTGCTCGCCTGTTGCCTTTGGATTATGGCCCCATGTTAAAAGGCTTGATTTTTCCCCTGCAAAGACAAGAAAGCCGGGTCATTTGGTGCTTGCCCTGTTTGAGCAGTGATACCCCAGATAGCTATGCCATGGAGCCCATTCGTATAATGAAAGACTATGGGAAAGACTTTGGCTCCATGGCAATTGAACTGTATGTGTGTGCTCTGAGCGCCATTCAGTAATAATGTGCACTCAGACCTAAGCTATCTGGGCATATGTTGCATGTCTGTATTTTATGTCATAAATGTAACCTTGTGTATTTTATTGTATTTTACTGTCTTTTTGCTGCCATGTGTTCAATGGAGTTTTGCCTCTGTCTTTGGAGATAATTGGATTACTTCTAATTATCTCCAGGATAGAAGACTCTGTGGAACTGGTTTTGGGCAGAAAAGCCATGCTTCCTGTGGTCACAAAGGACTACGATCTATCTTTTGAACCACTGGACCAATTTGTATGATTTTGACGTATGTTTGTATTTGGAGTATGCTGATTCTGAAAATGTATATGTGAATGTGATGCATACTTTTCAAGTTATGAATAATGTGGAAAAATTGTATTTCTCTGCTTGTGCTAAATTACATTACCCATTGTGTAAGGTAATTGAATCACATGCAGAGGGGAGGAATTTGTGTGGGAGTGTCTGAGTGTATTGTATGTGTTTATTCGTTGTGTTCCAAAACCCTGTGGGTGGTACTAATGTGTAAGAATGTGTACATAAGCACAATAAACCCACAGCTCTGTCTGACCACTGCTTGACCCTCAACACGGAGCCTTGTCTCGTCTTTGGGGGGATTTACTGAATGCTGATAGAGACTGATTGCTGGGAGTGTAAGCCGCTTGGGTGCTTTTCCTATTCGTCTGCTAGCAGCTATTCGTATGGTTCCAGTTCGTGAGTTTGGAGTGTTATATTGTATGCCGTTCGGGAGTTTGGAGCATTCCCTTATTGGCGGTTCGTGAGTTTGGTGTTCTACAGTAGCTGTGCCTGCATCTCTGAAAGGGGACGATCGCCTAAACGGTTTTTACCCCTTGTGTGCAAAACGGTCCGTTACATTTACTATTGATAACATTGGTAAAAGACAAATAATCAATATTACTAGAATTTTTTTATTTATTTTTTAAAAACACAATCTGAAGGATATTTTAAACAATAAGAAAAACCATTAAAGCTGCTAGCCTGTTATAGAAAATTCGACAATCGACAATGCTCAAAAAACATGTATCAGAAATAAAAGGCCCATTTTGGAACATCTTTGCATCAATTGCGGAATAAATAGGCGCAAATAAGAAATGCACCAGAAAACCAGCCTAGTGAAGACGTTTGTACATCGCTCCTAATGTTTCTCCTCCTCCAATGTAATGTGTGCCTGGCTGTGCCAGGACTGAACTGGATTGTGACGTCAACTGCTAAAACGTTAATATATGTTTAAAAGAAACAGAATATCACATGAAAATGATACAATATTCATACAAGTTCTACGTGTTTTTCAATGATTGATTTAATGGTGTCATTTCCAAAGAAGTGATAGTTCCCCTTTAATTTGCCCCCTTTGCAGGCCCAGCCTGAGCGGCTCACGTGGCCTCATTTAACTTGCTTTGGGGGTTATCTGGGGACAACCTGATTGCTCTGAGAGAGATTGGAAAAGCAGGCTCCTGTGCTGTTTGCGGTGAGTGTCTGTAAATCCAGGGTAAATAGTAGGTAACACAGCAATAATATTGCATCATGTTAGCCATAACAAGCCTGATTACAGTCATTTAAATATGATTCAGGCCGTGTACAGCTGCTCACATGGCTTCAAATACCTTCTTTCAGAAGTAACGCAGCTCCCATGATTTCATGAAAGCTCCCCCCCTACCCCCCCTCCGAGCTCTCGGATTACAAAGTATTAACTTGCTCTCAGCACAGGTATTTTAACAGAAACAGCCAGCCCGCCATTTACTGGATTTAAACCTTCCATGCAAGAACCAGACAGCCGCCATTGGGGAACAGCCAGGAAATCACACAATGTAAATCACAAAACTCGTTATGTAAATAAATACTAATATCAACCAAGACATGGCTGCTGTTTGATGTATATTATTATTATTATTATTATACAACACCAACATAGCGCAGAACAAATAATAACAGGAAGTAGGGTTGTTGCTATTATTATTTATAAAGCACCAACATATGTCAACGTGCGGTACAAGATGTGGAATAATTTACAAGTAGATACAATAAGACAAGAAGAGTTGTGTATTTATAATTATTACATAAACCCATTCCTGGTGGATCCTAATCTATCAAGATAAAAGATTTCCCTAATTATCTGTTTTTATTATTCACACTAAATTAAAGTCCTACGTATGGACTTTTTAAAGCCATCGCTATACACGTTGCCCTAGATTTCAGATGTGATGTAATTACTGCACTCTTGGTCTATTTGTGCGTGACAATGGTCCTTTTTATTACAGCCACATGCTGAAAAAAATACCATAAACCCACATTTGCAAACAGTCCTGAGTATCATTGGACAGTCCTGTTTCAGGCCCCTTTTCTACCACCACTGTTTACCAGCACAATTTAAGTGTGTTATTAAATGCTATTGCAGTTGTTATTGTTACATTTTAGTTGTATACATTGTTATTAGTAAGTCACCTAAAATTTCTCAAAACAACCACACTCCTGGCCACACTCCCACCTACACTCATGAAAACTGACGTTACCCTCACTCACACTCAGAACAGTCACACTCCTAGGCCACACTCACACTCAGATCAGCCCTGTTCTTGGCCACACTCTCACTCACACTCAGAACAGCCCGACCCCTGGCCACACCCACACTCACACTCAGAACAACCCCACCACTGGCCAAACTTACACTCAGAAAAGCCCTGCCATGACCACAACTCCAGCCACATCCAAAACAGCCTCGACCCTGGCAACACTACCACTCAGAACAGCCCTGCCCCATGCCACACTCCCACTCAGAACAGCCCCTCCCCTGGCCACACTCCCACTCACACTCAGACCAGCTCCGCCCCAGCCACACTTACACTCACACTTAATACAACCTCTCCCCTGACCACACTCCAACTCACACTCAGAACAGCCCCTCCCCTGGCCAAAATCCCACTCACACTTAGAACAACCCCGCCCCTGGCCACACTCACACCCCTAAAATGTTATTAATTTGTCCATTGTGAATGTTGGGATGTATGCTGACTTGCTCGACCGCCAATGCAGGGCTTAGATCTGTCAGTGGTGGGATGGCCCTTTTAGTCACTGCACGTTTTGAGAGTAAATATTGTGGCATGATATTATTATTATTATTATTTATATAGCGCCATTGCATTCCGTTGCGCTGATATCACCTATCGAGCTCCTTCCGGGGTACCCAGACAGCTGCACTGAGGGAGGATATCGGGTTTTGCAGCTATTTTTATATAAATAGTCTTTGAGCGCCGACCTCCAGTTTGGGATTTGGAAAAATCATTATTTTCTAGCATTTCTCTGCTTTGATATATTGTGAAGCACACAGAGTAACTCTGCAGGTTACACGGACACTATATCTCCTAGCGTGCTAACTACCCAGACAAGTAGCAGCAATACTTTCCATTCTTTCATCATTGTGAGGAGCATTGTATTACTCACTCCAGTGAATCAGACGCTGCTTGATGTGAGTGACAGCTTTATTTTACCAAACAGATCATGAGACTTGCAGCTTTCGCATATTGCAGCAAACTATAAAACAATGCACTGAGGGCTACAGGAAGACTGTATCGACAAATCCTCTTCCTTGATTGCATCAGGCTATCGAGTACTTGAGGTTTCTGAGTGAGATGGTTCTAAGGCCAAGCCTTGTTCCCTAATTGCTCCATGTCATGATATGGTGAAACCACAGATCTGGGAGTAAGGGTAGATGGTGAAATATGACTCTTGGATTAAAACATGCCATGATGTACTCATTGGATGGAGCGGTTCATGATTCCACCTGCTTCCTTCATTACATAATGCTAAAAAGGATCTGGGCTATAGGACTCATAGGATCTGGACAATAAATGTTTCATGGGACTCGGAAGGTTCAGGAAAGCATTGGGGATAGCTCTAAGGAAAGAGGACTAAGGTTCAGCTGAGTGTCCTCAGGGTGCAGGTAAAGAGAGTAGCTCTACGATTGAGTTACTGAGTCCTATGCATCCTGAAAGACTTGCACTCCCATATCCCCCATTTCTAACAGCAGCTTTTGACAAGAAGAAATAATGGTCACCATTCCTCCAATGGCTGTAAGGTCCATTTATATTTGGTCAGTGAGAGAATAAACAATGTGGTTGTCAGACAACATTAGGTATGTGCTGGCAAATATTTCACAATATTGAAATAACAGGACAGCAAGACCCGAACATGAGAGAGGTTTTGTTTTTGTAAATCAGAGTTTTTATTAAACGTTTTCATGAATAAGATACAAGTAACAAAATGGGACATGCAGGCTCCCAAAATGGGTACAATAAATAAGGTATGAAGGGCCAAAATCAAACATTAAGGTAATGGGTAATATAATGTGCAATATGTCATCTCCTCCTCTCTCTGCAGCTTGGTATAGATTAAAGGAACATACGGGAGAAAAACAAAACACAAAAGTACATCACCTGCCGATGTTAATCTGCCCATAGAGAAGAGGGGAAGCCAAAATGCCTGAAAAATTAATGTTTACAATTATAATGATGTGCGGGTGTATAAATGCATACTGGGGTACTGTTGCAGTATTTTTGACAGTAGATGGCAATACTCCCATATTCATCAGTTTTGTATAAAGAGAGATTAGGCTTAGCTCCCATGCAGTGTCCCCATCCCGCCCTCCTCAGGTGGACACCAGAGAGCATGAACTCTAGAGATAGGGCTTATAGCCCTTCGCACATCAGGAGCCAAGAAAATCGACAGAGCTTTGTTACCCAAAGTTCCAGCACTTCAGTTTGCATATGAGAGAGGACCGCCTCACTGACAAGAACATGGCCTTACCTCCCTTACAATTAACTTCCCTCTCCTGGGAGCTTGGTAAGTATGCCTTCCATTACAAAATTACACCACTTGTGGTATAGCTGGTGGGTTCATGGATCCTTTATTGAGGTCGGAAAAGACGGTGGTCACCCTTGCTTTGTTATACTGTGTTATATTATATTTCAGGTTTTGAGTCTTTCATTATGTAGAGGTTTAGTTGAAGGCATGGATAGATTTCGAGTATACACAAATAGCCTTCCTGTGGAGGTCATACCAATATAACGAGACACATAAAGTGGGGTTTGTTTTGATGATTGTACAGTGCTGTGGAATTGTTGGTGCTTTATAAATAATAATAATAATAATAATAATAATAATAATAATAATGAAGCTGAGAAGCTCAGGAAAAAATTCCAGTGCAATCACCAACTTAGTTCTAACATAGGGTTTAAAGCTACCAGTCCTCAGACGAAGTCTACTTTATTCTCAATCTTTACCATTTTCGACAAAGTAAGCTAATTGTAAACATGCTCCCTATATTAATTCATGCTGCAAAGCAATTTGTTTAAAGATATAAATGACAACTGTCAACTAAGGAACTGAAAAATTTATTATATATAGTATTGTTGCCTTTTGGAGATGCTATATATGAATCCATTGAGGTGCCTGTTGAAAGCAGTGTGATATACCCTCATATAAATCCTTATGGCGCAGCACTCCACCAAATTGGGACTTTTAAAAACACATTCAGTTTAACATTAACCTGGTTCCATCATCGAGTCCTTTACATGTGGAATTTGCTTACATAGAGAAATGCATTAATTCATGTTTTAAGAACTGGAGGAGGGACGTAGCTGTCTGTAATAGGATGATATATTTCTGAAAAAGGAACACAACGCTCAGCAACACAAAAATATATCTCTGGAGAAAGAATACATCAGCCATTAATGTGTAACAATGGAGAAAGAGGACAGCTCTGTCAAGAGCCATTTAAGAGGGAATACATCTTGGATTGAAAATTTTACTGGAGATCGACTGCAAGGCTACATCTGTGTCAATAAATATAGGAGAGAAATAGATTTTGTGCTAAACCCACAATTAAATCTCCAGAGTAATACCTTTTACCTGCAGCAACAAGGCCTTGTTTATCAGTGTATTAAGTATATTGAATGATATGATAGGTACTGTTTGCGGGTGGACGCCATGTTGAAAGATGCAAAGGACTTGATGAGTATTGTTTGAGGATGGACGCCATGTTGAATGATGTGGATGGTTTGATAGGTATTGTTTGAGGGTGAAAACTATGTTGAATGCTGTTGAGGATATGATGGATATTGTTTGCAGGTGGACGCCATGTTGAATGCTGTTGAAGATTCGATGGATATTGTTTGAGGGTGGATGCCATGTTGAATGACATTTAAGATTTGATAAGTGTTGCTTGAGGGTTGATGCAATGTTGAATGATGTTAAGGTCTTGATAGGTATTGCTTGAGGCTGGGCGCCATGCTGAATGATGTAGAGGGTTTGATAGGTATTGTTTGAGGGTGGACGCCATGTTAAATGATTTTGATGATTTGATGAGTCTTGTTTGAGGGTTAACGCCATGTTGAATGATTTTGTTGATTTGATGAGTATTGTTTGAGAGTGGACACTAGATCACAAAACCTACTTTTTTTGGGGTTGCCTTGAAGGACTCCATAGCATTTGATGGGTGAGGTTTAGAGACGAGGATTGTTTGCAGGTTTGGCAGTTGGACATCTACCCTTTAAATAGGAACTGCCTGGAGGTCTTGGAAAGGAGTCCCAATTCATTATATAAGCATATTAACTGATTTGCATGGTTAAGCTGTGTGGGTCTATTTTAGGTGCTCTCTTTTGTAGGATTGCTGGAGCTATAGAAGAATATGGACAATGCAGCTTTGGTAGGAGGTGTAACGGATCGCCTGGCACCCCGACTGGGTACCTCCGTTAAAGGATGCTCCTAGCGCTCCCTGAGGACTCCAAGCACTGCAGCAGACACCACAACCACCGAACCGGAGAAGCATATGAATCCTCTCAAGCATATGAATGCTGTAGACAGTTGAATAGGAACCATACGAATAGGTTTACTCTCCTAGCAGTCAAACTGGAACAGCATACAATAAATCCTTCCCCCAATAATGAGACGACACTTCACTTTGAGGGTTAAAACAGGAACTCCCTGTACTGTCACATACAGTCTCTTTTATTCCCAATCCACAAACATAGTACAGCCCACAGGGCGTTACAAAACAGCCAATCAATCCATACAATACACCCAGACACTCCCACACAAAATCCTCCCCTCTGGCTGTGATATGATTACTGAACACAATGGGTAATCTAATTATCACAGCCAGAGAAATACAGTTTCATAAAACACATCACAGGGACCCCAAAACATGCAATAACCCCATAAAAAGTATATCCTCGGAACTGGGGGATCTGGGTGAACCACATATCCAAAATTCACCCAGATCCGTTCAGTACTTTGGAAAATACAGTTTAATGCAGATTCTGCAGAACATATACAGGCTAAATAAAAAACAATCACTGTATAATGTGTCCCCTGCTGTATAGTCCAAAACCACCGCACGATGTCTCTGTGCAACAAATACTGGCGAGATGGCACCGTGTTGAAAAGTCCACACAGTGTATGTGAGTTAAAATGGCCACCATCCATTGTTCTCACCATGTGCTTCTGAGACAGGAAATGGTGGCCACCCAGTAACTCCACAGTATGTCCCCAGATGGTTCTTAAAAGGGCCAGCAGCAGCACAACACAAATCCATTATGCCCAAATCATGTCTTTAAAGGGCAATACATCCCAGGGGCCATAGTCACATGGCATCCCAGGAGGCTGGCAATCAGTCTTCTCCAATGCCCAGTGGCGAGGTCGGTTTCGCCACAGGAGGATTCTCTGGCTTCTGATGGAATGGAGATATTAGAATACTTTCTACTCACCAAGGTGTCTAAACCCTTAAATGGTGGTCAAGAGAAATGAGAAAGTCTTCCGTTAGTTGTGTTTCTTCTCGCTGCACTTATTGTAACATGAATCATCGTGGTAACAAGCATGACCCAGCGCTGTCAGAGGGACAAAACTGCATTTCTTTAATAAGACTCACCAGAGTGGCCAAACCAGTAGGTAGATTCACTGTGTAGTTAGTCTCCAGATTAGTTCTATTCAAAGTTCTTCGTATAACTCTAAATCTCTTCTAAAGGTGGTAAAAATAAAGACACTGGAGTAGATGGAAGAGACAAATAAAACACAGACAGAAGGGACAAGCGGATAATTTGATGGATGGATGAATGGATGGATGATAGATGGATTAATAGAGGGGTTCTCAACCCAGTCCTCAGGACCCCCTCTCAGGTGTTTAGAAAAAGGGGAAAAAACACCTTAGACTCTAAGGTGTTTTTTCTTCTTTTTCTAAACACCTTAGACACACCCAGGTAATCCCTAAACCCTGGACTGGTAGGGGGTCCTGAGGACTAACGTTGAGAACCCCTGGATTAATAGATGGAGAGATGTGTGATATACTCATGGATTCAGAAATGCTTACTGTGGATATAGTTACTAGTTTGAGATCAGGGTTGCAGTTAGTATTTTCACAGGTTTGGAGAATCGATGTTGAACACTCAATCAAAAGACAGAAATCTGTGCTGTACACTCAATCTAAAGAGATCTGTGCTGAACACTCAATCTAAAGAGATCTGTGTTGTATGCTCAATCTAAAGGGATCTCTGCTGTACACTGAATCTAAAGGGATCTCTGCTGTACACTCAATCTAAAGTGTACAGCGCTACGGAATGTGATGGCGCTATATAAATAATAAAATAATAATAATAAAGAGATCTGTGCTGAACACTCAATTTAAAGAGATCTGTGTTGTATGCTCAATCTAAAGAGATCTGTGCTGTACACTCAATATAAAGGGATCTGTGCTGTACACTCAATCTAAAGGGATCTGTGCTGAACACTCAATTTAAAGAGATCTGTGTTGAACACTCAATTTAAAGAGATCTGTGCTGTACACTCAATTTAAAGAGATCTGTGCTGTACACTCAATATAAAGAGATCTGTGCTGTACACTCAATATAAAGGGATCTGTGCTGTACACTCAATCTAAAGGGATCTGTGCTGAACACTCAATTTAAAGAGATCTGTGTTGAACACTCAATTTAAAGAGATCTGTGCTGTACACTCAATTTAAAGAGATCTGTGCTGTACACTCAATATAAAGAGATCTGTGCTGTACACTCAATATAAAGGGATCTGTGCTGTACACTCAATCTAAAGGGATTTGTGATGTACATTCAATCTAAAGAGATCTGTGCTGTACACTCAATTTAAAGACAGAGATCTGTGCTGCACACTCAATCTAAAGAGATTTGTGTTGTAAACTCAATTTAAAGACAGATCTGTGTTGTACACTTATACCTTTTGTGTGACTATATCTCATTCCCTCTAGCATGTAAGCTCATTGAGCAGGGACCTCAATCCCTCTGTTCCTATGCGTCCAATTACGTGTCTGTTAGTTCACCCATTGTACAGCGCTATGAAATTTGCTGACGCTATATAAATAATAAAATAATAATAATACACTCAATCTAAAGAGATCTGTGCTGTACACTCAATGTAAAGACTGAGAGATCTGTGCTGTACCCTGATTACCATCTGTACTTAGATTCTGCTTACAATAATGGTCCCACTGTCCACCAATTGAAATATTTCCGAGGAATGTGTCAAAATATTGTGTTTCTGGAGAGAGTTTTGAGCATCGGACTGGATAAAGTGTCATATATACATATAAGGTTAAATTTGCCCTCACTAACTTAGCAACAGTGCTGCTTTTTTCAAAGCTTTTAGCTGCAGTTGAATGTGGCCCTGGGGTGAAGGGTCAGATAAACACATTTGGGGTGTCCGGTATCTGCTGTCCATTTTGTTGATCTATGGCACTGTTTGCTCTTCGGGGATTCGTTTACTAAATCACTCTAAGTGTGGCTCCATCACCCCCTGTCGTACAGCTACTTGTTCTGGCTATGTCTCCGAGTGAATTCATGAACCCCCTGTGCTGCACTCCATCCAGCTGTCATCATATATAGTCACAGATATAAACACAGGCCTCTGGGCTTTACAAGTCCGGCTAATTTGCAAGAAATAAATAAATAATTTTAAGTACTTTTCTTCCTTTACAAGTAGAATGAGTTTGAAGATTAGGGACTCTTATTTTCTAAACAAAAAAATGTTTTGGTTGAGAAATGAGTGATGTCAGTCAAGCCTTCACTATATTGTGCCCCAAACGCCCTTTCAGAGTAAGCTGTAAGAGGGATATTATGACATTTAAATGTACTCTTACCACATTGTTCAGAGAAAATGGGCCAGAGAGACTACAACGTGTCCCTCCCTTCATTACTACGAAATCTCAGCAAAGAAAGTTCACAAAATGACTTTGAAATATTTCTGTATATTTCTCTATATTTGCCCTGTATACAAAAAAAAATCTAATTTTACTAGCTATCATTTGCCACATGTGGGCATATTTGGATTATATACATTTCTGTTTGCCTATGTATAAGAATTGTACTGTTTATTAGAGAAACACTTCCTTGGGGGAAAAAATGAAAACACACATGCATTTACTTCTGCTTTTTTTCCCCTTTTGGGCTGTATCTAAAAACAGCTTGCAAACACACCTTCATGGATGGGGGGACTGTGTGTGTGCTTATAGTGATGGGTTAATCTTACCCTTAGCTAGTATCTTGGGATTTAATCTTAATCTAATAATCTTATCATAATTCTCACATGTAGTCACAGTGACTCTACACGCAAACAGACATAATCATACATCCCACTATCAACATGCACTTACCTGTACCTCAGCCGAGACCTGTTGACCTATCGGCAGCCCAAACTGTTGCCAATCAGTTCATGACAATCTGTGCAACCACGAATACATTAATAAATGATAGTATAAAGGTTATAATTATATATTTACAAATGTGGTGTGGAGTGGACCTCACGTTCCC